GCCTACCACACAACATGATATTATTTGTTGTGATACAACAAAGATGATGTGAACTTTGAGCTCTGAGGGTCATATGTGGAACCTGACAATAAAGCCACGTAACTAGAATGAAGAGATGAAGGGAATCTGAGTTCTGTCAATGCCATTATTTGAAAGTCTGCATCCATCAGACAGTACCTCTGTGTTTTTAGATGTGTAAGCCAATAACATTCTTTTCCTAAAATAGTTTGAATTGGGTCTTCTGTCACTTGAAATTAAGCCTCCTGACTGATATGGGGCAGAAAGGAAAGGAAAAGTTTATTGTTATTTTAATGGGCAATCCTGAGTGACTAGAAGAGGAAAAAATCTTCAAAAAGTGCCAGCTGTATATGAGTTTGAATTCATTGATGATAGTGGAATAGAGAAGGCAGGGGCCCAGAAACCTCTTGATGTTTGCAGAACACAACATATGGAAAAGCACTACATAAATTCTGTAAATAAATAACTGTACAGATACATTAGTTAAGATAACTCACTACTGTAGAATTTATCAGTGACAAAATGGCTTGGCTTCTAAAATGGCATGGCAGTTTACATGCATATTAGAAGAATAGAAAATAGGAGGACAATGATAAACAATATCAGAGTTCATAAATGCTGTAGATCAGTTAATGGAAGGCAAATATATTTAGAGGGACAACTAGCCATGTAAGTTTCCAAGCTAAATGGGACTACTCACTTTAAAAATGTCATTTGTAATTTTAAAAATTTTAGCAGAAAATTTGTATTAGTTGATAAAAGAGGGAAAGAGGTACCATATTAATTGATATTACCATATTAATTAATAAAAGAGTTAGACTACATGAATCTCCCAGGATCATTAAAGATCTGGTCCAAATTTTTACTCTCCATGCAGTTTCTGAATTGTGTGCAACTATGCAATTGTGTGTGGATAAAAGGGAAAGTTACAGCTCTGGGTGGATAATAGTGTGTCTGATGGCTTTCCTGTTAATTGAATTAACTTCATAGGACAGAAGTAGACCAGATCCTGCCAGGTAATAAGCTCATTTCTAAGGACTGTATCTTAACCCTTTCAGACTATGGATATTACACAATTTCTTCAAGTCATTAAATGGAACCTTAGACCACAAAAAGGGAATAAAATATTGCAAATATTCATTTTGTAAAAAAATAGATAATACCCACTTAGCAAAATGATCTGGAAGAGAAAGCATCATCTGAAAGTTAAGTCAGCTGAGCTTCATTTCTAAATATGATAATTGGATAATTATATGTACATATATATGCCAAAGAAGTTCAACTACCACACAATTGCACTCATCTCACACACTAGCAAAGTAATGCTCAAAATTCTCCAAGCTAGGCTTCAATAGTACATGAACCATGAACTTCCAGATGTTCAAGTTGGATTTAGAAAAGGCAGAGGTACCAGAGATCAAATTGCCAACATCTGTTGGATCATCAAAAAAGCAAGAGAGTTCCAGAAAAACATCTACTCTTGCTTTATTGACTATGCCAAAACCTTTCACTGTGTGGATCAAAACAAACTGTGGAAAATTCTGAAAGAGATGGGAATACCAGACCACCCGACCTGCCTCCTGAGAAATCTGAATGCAAGTCAAGAAGCAACAGTTAGAACTGGATATGGAACAACAGACTGGTTCTAAATTGGGAAAGGAGTACATCAAAGCTCTATATTGTCACCCTGCTTATTTAACTTATATGCAGAGTACATCATGCGAAATGCCAGGCTGGAAGAAGCACAAGCTGGAATCAAGATTCCTGGGAGAAATATCTATAACCTCAGGTGGATGACACCACTCTTATGGCAGAAAGCAAAGAACTAAAGAGCCTCTTGATGAAGGTGAAAGAGGAGAGTGAAAAAGTTGGCTTAAAACTCAACATTCAGAAAACTAAGATCATGGCATACGGTTCCATCATTTCATGGCAAATAGATGGGGAAACAATGGAAACAGTGAGACTTATTTACTTGGGATCCAACATCACTTCAGATGGTGATAGCAGCCATGAAATTAAAAGACACTTGCTCCTTGGAAGAAATGATCAACCTAGACAGCATATTAAAAAGCAGAGACATTACTTTACCAACCAAGGTCTGTCTAGTCAAAGCTATGGTTTTTCCAGTAGTCATGTATGGATGTGAGAGCTGGACTATAAAGAAAGCTGAGTGCTGAAGGATTGATGCTTTTGAACTGTGGTGTTGAAGGACTCTTGAGAGTCCCTTGGACTGCAAGGAGATCCAACCAGTCCATCCTAAAGGAAATCAGTCCTGAATATTCATTGGAAGTATTGATGCTGAAACTGAAACTGCAATACTTTGGCCACCTGATGCAAAGAACTGACTCATTGGAAAGACCCTCATCCTGGGAAAGGTTGAAGGCGGGAGGAGAAGGGGACGACAGAGGATGAGATGGTTGGATGGCACCACTGACTCGATGGACATGAGTTTGAGTAGGCTCTGAAAGTTGGTGATGGACAGGGAAGACTGGCATGCTGCAGTCCATGGGGTCGCAGAGTCAGAAAATGACTGAGTGACTGAACCGACTGAACTGGTATATGTTAAGTTTCATCACTGGGTTCTTTCTTTTTTGTTAGTATCATTAGTTATCTTACTCTCTTTTTAAAAGAATCTTGATTATCCAACTGCTTGGAATGTCTTTTTCCCTATTGCTAAGATTATGAATGAATGCTTAAAAGGTCATTCCACCAGTAAATAGTAAGACAGTCTGACTTTGAGTCTAACAAATGTAGATTTTTGCTAGTAGCCTTTTATCTCTTTAAAGTGTACTTGAAATTTCTATGTTCATAAAGCATAGCAACACAAGTGATATCTAACATATTAAATGCAAAGCTATCATCTTCATATTACAGATGAGGAAATTCAGGTTCAGTGGTACAGCTAAAGTATCCAAGTTCATGCACTTGGCAAGCAGCAGATTTAGGTTCTAATAATGTGTGTAAGATGAAATATGTTTTTCATATTCATAGGAGGGTTTGAGAGGTGAGAATGAAGATGGGGAACACGGACTGTAGGCTGTGTAGTGAGGGGAGCTCAGTATTGGGTTTAAATATGGACTTTGCCTGCTTCAATGTATGGTCTTAGATAAATTGCATTAACTCTTTGAGCCTTGGTTTCTCATCTATGAAATGGGGCTAACAACCTCTAGTCTGATTAATTACTGTATGCTTAAATGAGATGTTTTATTTACATTTCAATTTTGGTTTGCTGATGTTGTTTGGTTGATGGCGTCTCAAAACAATGGTAAAAGAATTTCCTCTGCATTAAATGTGTGGCATATAAAGGATTGTTGCTTAGTCTACTTTATACTTTTGCATTCCAATTTCCAATGATGAAAAGAACATCTTTTTTTGGTGTTAGTACTGTCAGGTTTTGTAGGACTTCATAGAACCGATTAACTTCAGCTTCTTTGGCATTAGTGGTTAGGGCATAAATTTGGATTCCTGTGATGTTGAATGGTTTGCCTTGGAAACACATTTTGGATTCTTTGGTTGGCTATGAGGGCTACTCCATTTCTTCTAAGGGGTTCTTGCCCACAGTAGTAAATATAATGGTCATCTGAACTAAATTCGCCCATTCTCGTCCATGTTTAGTTCACTGATTCCTACCATGTCAATGGTCAATCTTGCCATCTCCTGCTTGACCACGTCCAATTTACCTTGATTCATTGACCTAACATTACAGGTTCCTATGCAATATTTTTCTTTAAAGCATCAGAATTTACTTTAACCACCAGATACATCCACAACTGAGCATTGCTTCTGATTAGGTCTAGCCACTTCATTATTTCTGGAGCCATTACTAATTGCTCTCTGCTCTTCCCTGTAGCATACTGGACACCTTCTGACCTAGGGGGCTCATCTTCCAGTGTCTTATCTTTTTGCTTTTTCATACTGTTCTTTGAATTCTCTTGGCAAGAATATTAGCGTGAGTTGCCATTTCCTCCTCACGTTTTGTCAGAATTCTTCACTATGACCCATCCGTCTGGGTGGCTCTGCATGGCATGGCTCATAGCTTCACTGTATTTTGCAAGACCCTTCACCACGATAAAGCTGTGATCCATGAAGCGGATGTAAATGATATTTACAGGTGACTTTTTTTGTTAATATACAAGTTAACAAGAATTTTTAAGTTATTTTATTGCAGTGATAGTCTCTCACATGAGTAATATAAGACAGACCTCTGATGGATCCTCAGACAATATTAAGAAGATCCTCATAACTGTGTCATTTTATTATTGAAATTACGTATAGATTTTAAAGTATAACCTGATTATATGAGCTCCAGTATAAATATATTTTTAGTTGAACAGATGTTAAAAGTTTGATGAACTCATTATTGATAAGGGTACCAGTAAGATTTACAACTTATTCTAGTATAAACATTTTAATTTTAAAATAACAACATATAAGAGAAGAGACAGACAATGATTTGTATTCAAAACATACCTTTATTTTCTAAATTGTTTCATTATAGGATGCTTTTAGGTAAGTAAAAATAATTGCTTATTTAGTGAGTTGTTTAATTAACCTGTATTATTATTTTTTATCCTCACAACAACCTTGGGAATTAGAAACTGTTTTAATGCCAGTTTTAAAGATTAGACAGTTGAGGTTGGTTGCCTGAGGTAGCAAGCAATTAAGTGACAGGCAGATATCAAACTCCAGAGACTGTAGTTATCTTCCAACTTTGGCTAAAGCTCAGTTATGTAAAGGACATATGTTTGGAATAGTGGGGAGGGGGGGCTTAGCAGGAGAGTATTGTATTCCTTTTTTTTTTTCACTTATTTTTATTAGTTGGAGGCTAATTACTTTACAATATTGTAGTGGTTTTTGCCATATATTGACATCAATCAGCCATGGATTTACATGTGTTCCCCATCCTGAAGCCCCCTCCCCACCCCATCCCACTGGGTCGTCCCAGTGCACCAGCCCTGAGCACCCTGTCTCATGCATCCATTTTAATGGTGGTGCTTTAGTTGCCAAGTCGTGTCTGGCTCTTGTGACCCCATGGACTGTGCCTGCCAGGCTCCTCTATCCATGGGATTCTCTAGGCAAGAACACTGGAGTGGGTTGCCATTTCCTTCTCCAGGAGCTCTTCCCAACCCAGGGATCGAACCCAGGTCTCCCGTGTTGCAGGCAGATTCTTTACCAGCTGAGCCACTAGGGAAGCCCAAGAAGACTGGAGTGGGGAGCCTATCCCTCGGAGTGGGCAACGGCACCCCACTCCAGTACCCTTGCCTGGAAAATCCCATGGACGGAGGAGCCTGGTAGGCTGCAGTCCATGGGGTCATGAAGAGTCGGACATGACTGAGCGACTTCACTTTCACTTTCATGCATTGGAGAAGGAAATGGCAACCCACTCCAGTGTTCTTGCCTGGAGACTCCCAGGGACGGGGGAGCCTGGTGGGCTGCCGTCTATGGGGTCGCACAGAGTCGGACACGACTGAAGCGACTTAGCAGCAGCAGCAGCCTATCCCTTCTCCAGCGGATCTTCCCGACCCAGGAATCGAAACTGGATCTCCTGCATTGCAGACAGATTCTTTACCAACTAAGCTACAATGAGATTGCATCTAATTTGTTAATACATGAAAGGATCTGGAGGTTTTTATGATGCTGGAAAATATGATGGTACAATCATGTTGGCAAGTAGTGTAGCGTAACACCCGAAAAAGTGAGCAGGGATGTCAGCAGGGACATCAAATGACCGGTTAGGAAGTTATTACAAGAGCTGGACAATACATGTTAGAGGAATGAACTATGGCAGTTTCTACAATTTAAAGCTGGGGAAAGCCTTGGGGAACGTTTTAGGAGTAAAATTATTGGACATGGTAAAGGACTGGATGAAAACAGTGAAGACAAAAAGTAGAAGTAACTATTTTGACTTTTGAAATTGAGTTTGAAATGCTTAAATACAGCAAGTGGTCAGATACATGGATAGAAGTCAAACTTGGAGGTATAGACGTTAGCATCATCTGTACAGAAGGGGTGATCAATCAATGTGGAGGAGTGGGAAGAAGTCTCAAGGACACCTTCATTAGATCTGAACTAACTTTATTATATGTATTACTGAATGTGAATGGAATTTACAACAGAGTTAATCCCAAACTACTCTACCTCAAAATCTAAATGGTTGACATGAGATTGTGTTTGCAAAAGAGATAGCGAATGACCATGTTATTTAAAATGCTTTATAAAATTTTATTTAATAGTATTTGATCATACAGATTTTATGGTAAATGTGCATTTCTAAAAGTGCATAATCAAACATTTATTTTTTTCTTGATCTTGCATTTGTCATAGAAAGGTGCTATGGATGATTACATGAAGATTTACTACTTATGGATTCGTATTAAAATATACCACAAAGAAGAGATAAACAAGTTTATAAGATGCTGTTTGCTGGTTTTGAAAATAGAGGAATATAAAAATATTATTTGGCAGTAACAGAAAATACCATTTCTTTTTTAATTACTTTCAAAATTCAACATGAACACTAAAATAAAGAGTTGGTTAAGTGGTATCACCCATTTAATATATATTGCCCATACTGTATTTTTCATTCTGGAATAATGAAGCACATGACTCCACTTCTGTATAATCGGTGCTGTGTTCAAACATTAGTTGCTGGGATCATGAAGGTGACTATATTAGAAGCAGATAGAACAGATATGTGCACAGCAAAAGAGTGGCTTTAACCAGAGTTCCATCCTAATGTCTTACTTTGTTGGGAACACAGTTTACATATTTAAAGAGGAATGTCATGTTGATTCATTGGTAGCATCTGGACACCCATCTCAGGCCTGAGTGGTGAATAGCATAGCTTGATACAAATGGTTGCTGAACACTCTCGCCTTTAGTATACAGTTATTTCAGTGACGAGACCTTAACAAAAAGTTTCCCAAACCCTCATTGGCTTTCTTTTTCTACCACAGTAAATAATTATTTGACTTCATCTGAGCTTTATGGAGCTAATTACTTTTGCTTAGAAACAGAGTTAAAATTAAATGTAATTTTTAATTATAAAATGTTTCCTTGGAAACATTTGCTTGTAAGTTAAATTGTACTTTGTTCTAAAATACTTAATTTCCCTTACAATTAGAAATCAAAGACAGAACTCAGCATAGGGCAATTTGGAAAGTGTAGCATTAATTGCTACAAAAAAGTTAATTTTTTCATAATGGACAACTGATGGTGAACCTCCAATTAACTGCTACGTAGTTATACTGAACAATTCTGCTCAGAAAAGAATTATTCTATTTTATGACCATTAATTGAATGATCACTGGAAGCAGACATTTTTAAAATTTAGAAATTTCTTTAGAAATTAACTTTTTTTTTAAAATTTAGAAATTATAGGTTTGTTTGAATTTAGAAAAAGCTGAGCATAATGATCACAATTGAAAAGATCAGCATAAGTAGGTGACCTCGAAGTTCACTGCAACTGTTTCACAAATCACCTTAACACACAGGATTCACAGCCAAGGGCAAGCCTCTCTTTGGTTCGTAAGGTGTTGTCCTGGAAACCATTTTGATGCAGTCGATAATAGGGCAGACGGAGAGACAGAGGGTACAGCCGGTACAAGCGTCAGTAATGGTGGGCAGGTGGGTTTCAGGATCAAACTGGATAGCCTGCAAACAGAAATAGAGAGTCTCGCTGTCACTGCCCACAAAGGGCAAGAACGCCCCTATTTTAGCACCAGCGTTTTTCTCCACCGCAGGAGAGCTGCGCTCGAGACAGCTACGCCCAGCACTGCGGCGCAGCTATAGCAACAGATGAGCTGCTAGAGAAGAGGGGGTGGGAAAAAGAGGGGGAAAAAAATCCTTTTAAACTAGAAACACGATGCTTACAATTCCTTAGAGGTGTTGTTCTTGCTTTGTGTGAGGAAAATATTTCGTAACATAGGAACTCTCGGGTTTCCTGCGTTGTGAGCAGAGTGTGGGTCCTGCCAGTCTGACCACGACCTGGTGGGTCGGCTGCCTGAGGCGGGCAGGGCGCTTCCACACCTCGTCCTTTTCACACGCCGGCTTCTCGACAGTGAAGTGTCATATTATGGGTATAGGGCTTACAGAAAGGCAATAGAAAAAAAAAGTAGCTTAAGAGCCAGCTTTCAGGTTTGAGGGTTTCCAAGCTGATTCGAGGCATTACTCCCCCACCAAAGGGAAAAGCACTGAAAGATGGGAGCCCGGACACCCGGCTTCTGGTCTGGCCCAGCACTCTTCTGCTTGGAGAACCAGGATAAGGTTTCCAGTTCTCAAACTGCTCAGGATTTTGAGAAACTCAATAATTTATTCCTTTCTCCCCCCTTCTCTCTCATCTTTCCTTCCTTCCTTTCTTTTAACATGATTTAATTTGCAATATGGTGTAGCAATTGAACAACAACAATCTGCAGCATGCAATGTAAATACCTAGTGTGAAATTTACAATTGAGATTTTTATTTAGGTAGAACGCTTTACCCCCTGAGCCACCGGAAAAGCCTTGAGATTTTTATTTAAAGTCATGATAACTATTTGCCTGTGAAAGAGATATTTCAACAATGGAAACAACAGACAAGAATTTCCATCCAGGGAAGACTTCAGGGCAGCTACATGGGGGCAGAGAGGACTTGAGGACTCCTCGAGAAGTCTCTCCTGCAGAACAAGTCAATGTTTTTACTCAGACTGCGTGCTAATTTGGAGGGATGAGCAAGGGGGATGAGAAAAATTACGAGGGTCAGTAAGCCCCCACCTAGCCCCAGATACTCCTGGAGGTCAGGTCTGTGAATCTTATATTTTCAAATAATTACTGAGTTCTGATTTTTTTTCCTGTGTCATATACAACATGTTATAAAATCCAATTAAAGTATGTTTAAGAATTTCCCTCTGTCAAATAAGGTTCCTTGCAACTTAATTTTTTTCCCTTTTATGAACATAACAAATTAAAATGGTCTCATTAGAGTAAATTATGTCAGAGTGCTTAATATTTTTTAAAAATTCTGAGCTTTAAGGAAACAACCATATATCTGAACAAGTATGTAGCTATGACAAACCATTAGGAAATTTGGTCTAACCAAATTGTTGCCATGTTTTGTAAAACAACATCTCAGCTGACTGTTTAAATGAGTAAAAGCTATTCTCTTCCTTATGTACCCTTTTATAAACAGAAATCCAAGAAACAATTGATGAAAATAAAATAATACTTACATCTTAGAAATCTTACACTTTGAAATTTTGCAAACATGTAAAATTTCACATTTGAAGATTTTTATTTTCTATTTTTTATCTTTGAGAGACAGAAGAGCCAAAGGAAGGCTTTTAAAAATTTTTTTGAATGCATAATTGCAATCTCTCCCCTCACTAATAAGATTATTTTTGTTGAAGTTTTGCCAAGGCTACAATTCCAAGGTGGGAATCATAACCTCTAAGATTTAAGACGTTAGAACCCTGGTGCTGTGATTTTAGTGTTAGAACTTCCTGACTTATCTCTGTTTGGTTAATGAGAGGAAAGATGAAATGAAAATGAATATGATATGATTATTCAAAATAACTGCTAGAGATGCTTTTCAGGTGTAGAAAAAGATGAGTAAATACAATGGGTAAAAATTGGGTATGGAACAGTGTTAAATTAAGGAGGAAGAGGTTTTTTAAGAATTAAACTTATGTCTGTCATACCTCTCTATTAGGTGGTCAGAAGAATACATAAAATCATATCACAATCAAATAGGACCTTTCTCCAAGCTAAATAAGGTAAATGAAATATAGTTTTTTTTTAAAAAAAATGGGCCATTTTATCTATCTTGAAAATTCATTAATCATCTTAAAGGGATCTTATTTTTACTTTATTATACTTCTTTACAGTGTGAAATATTTAATGAAAACAATATTATTCTGTAGCTCTTAACCTGAAGACAGCTGAACGTGCACTTTTTTCTTTATTGTCCATGGCAGACTCTCAGCTGAGGGCTCGGGGACTGGGAAGAAGCTCTGGCTCACTTTATGTGGTAGGAACACAACTTGCTCAGCTTTTCCAGCTACAGAAGAATTTCAGGTCCCAACCAGCACAACTAGTCGGTGGTAAAACGTCTTTTCTTTCTAACTGTAGTAAAAGCCCAATCAACACTGAACGGAAGACCACAGAAGGAAGCAAGTTCCTTCCAGATCATGGACATAAGTTGGTAGTTCTTTTCTCTGCTTTCTCCTTTAAGGTATGATGCTTCTTTATGGCCATAATTGTGTGAATTTTTGTTTGAATTTTTCCTTCGAATTTTATGAGTGATGAAGTGACACAAAAACAATACTGTGCACCGAAAGGTGGCCTTGTTCTTATGAGTTATTAGCTTCCTTTGAAAAAATCACTAGAAAAAAGGTATGGATGAACCTGTTTGCATGGCGTGAATAGAGACACAGATGCAGTAAACAGAGGTGTGGACATGGGGTGAGGGGGAAAGAGGAGGTGGGATGAATTGGGAGACTGGGATTGACATATATATGCTACCATGGGTCAGACAGATAGCGAGTGGGAGCCTCCTGGATAGCTCAGGTAGTTCAGCTCAATGTTTTCTGGTGATCTAGATGGCTGGGATAGGGGAGGTGTGAGCGAGGTCCATGAGGGAGGGGGTCTACGTACATATACGCTGATTCACTTTGTTGGAGAACAAAAATTAACCTGACATTGTAAAGCAACTGTTACTCCTGTTATAAAGGAAAATCACCCCTGTGCTATGGATGTGAGAGGATGGAAAGCTAAGTCACTGCTGAGAAGTGACGTTTGGCATGTCTGGTCTGAATCCCACACTTCACAACAAAAGATGCTTTCTGATACAAAAGCCAGAAGAAACATGCCTCACAGCATCCTAATTACAGCATGATTCTTACCTGGTAGCCAGAGTCATTACAGGTCATGTAGCATTTGCCACAGTTGATACACATCTCTTCATCGATCACAGCCACAACCTGCTCTCTGTTGCTCAGTTCACCATATGTTCCAAGGTACTGCAGAGCTTTTCCAATCACATCCTAAAAGATAGGCGCTGAATTACTTACAGGGCTCATTTTAAAATATTGCCGTGTTATGACTAGTATCGGTCCAAATCTCCCTGTTTTTATAGAATATTGCATTATCTAACTTAAAAGATTTTAGATATTGTAGCTCTCATGGATATACTTTTTATAATTGTAGCTTACATATTTCTGTGTCCTGAAAGATGGACCCTCTCTCCATATCTAGCTTAGAAACACAAGACTTAACTCATTGCATTCAACAGGTTTTCCACAAATGATCTAAATCAATATTTCTGTGGGCAGGAGAAATGACGCATTTTTCAATGGCTGTGGCTTCCTTTTCCTCAGTTTTGGACTCTGAATGACCAAATAATGAGGAGCAACAGAGGGAAATGCACTGATACTAGAAAATGTTAGATTGCTAGGAATGAGAATAAAAATGTGAACACTATGCATTTTTAGCACTGCATTTGAAGTCTAGATTTTCATTTAAAAAAGTGCTTTGATAGCATACCCACCTGTCATGTTTTGAAGAGTTATTTCATTATTTAAAAATTCTAATTTATGTTAATTAATTAGGTTAATCTAGTAGCTAAATAAGATGTTCTTTTACTATTAAAGAACTCGGATTTTCTTCATTCACCATTGAAGATTCTTCATGCCGTTACACATCTTTGTTCTTCATATTAATTGGAAGTGTGCTTAATATGTGAAGCACAGAAGATGTTTCATCAACAATAAGAAACTTTGTTTCATAAAACAAAACAGAAGAATGTAACAATGTTTGTCAAATTAGTATGCTGTCAAGATTTTCTGCTTCTGTTTTTAACTTTTAACAAGACAATCTTTTGTTTGGATTCAAGGTCCATGTTCAAAGAGGTTTCACTCTTATTTAAAGCCATCTTCCGATATTCTCTTTGGTATTTTATTTCCTGCTCTTCTTTTTACGACCTTGGTTACCCTTTTAAACATTTTTTTTTCCTGTTTCCACTCTAAATGACAATATGCTCATGACTTTGAGCTTTCAAACTGAAACAAAGTTTACATTATTATTTACTGTTTATTGGTGTAGCTCTCAAGGAATAAGAAAATCAGAAACTTAATGTCTTTTACTATTTTCTTTTCAGGGTGTTGAAAAGATAATTTCAACAATCTCACTGTCTGTTTGTAGGGGGCTGCCTGGGGTCCAAATCAATATCTCCATCCTGAGTTTCTCTCACAAACTCAAGATCTCTATCAGTGGCGTGATGAGCACCCTTCCTAGAATTTGGTACAACAAATTCACCACTCACTGAACTTTTCATCAACATCACAAAATTGGATCTTCCTCTGATTCCCTTAGTCATGGAAACACTGTTAGGATTTCTTCGGTCACTGAGGCTTGACATTTCAGAGTTGCATTTTACCCCTACTTCTCCCTACTCCAGTATCTCATCGGTTGCCAAGTCTTTTGAGTTCTAGATTTGCAAAATCTTTTGAATCTTCTTTCCATGTCCACTATAGTTTTTATCCACTATTAATTAATTTCCCATTACTTCTAAGGTAGTTACAAGAGCCTACACGGTAAGTCTCATCATTATTTTCTTCCTTTCCCATCCTATCTTATGCAGTGTTGTCATCTTAATCTGTGCTGCATAGCACAAGCTAAATTTCCCACTACCTTACTAAAAAAAATAAAATCTACTGAATTAAACACAGTTTCACATTTAAGTGTAGCATTTAAGGCTTTCACTGGCATGCCTTTTTTGGTCTGATTTCTCACTTTCAAACACCATGTGCTTTAGCTATCCCAGACACATGCCCCGTACTGTACACACTTATCAATCAACTCCTCTGGTACCTAATTTTATCTTGGGTCCTCTGTCCAGAATACTCTTCCTTCCCTTTTTTATTTTGAAAAATCTTGTCCATCCTTCAAAGACAGCTGACGCACCACTACTCCAAGAAGATTTCCTCAAGCTTTCCTTTTTTTCTAACCCAGAAAGGTGTGATCTCTCTTTTCCTCTTTCTCTTTCGTCTCCTACCTCTTTCCTTCCTACACACCCACAGTGGCTCATAGTATTTTATCTATTATGTGGAACTAATGATTACAGATTACTTTGAGTTCTTACTATGTATTGGGCCAGTGCTGTAATTTTTAAGCATTTTCTCACTTAAATCTCATATGTATTATAGAGGATGAGGTGCCTAACATTTAAGATATAAGAGTAAGTAAATGAAAAAGCAGGCATTCAGATTAGTGCTGCCTAACTTCAAAATCTATGATTGTAAGCACTCTGTTATGCTGACTTATCTGTTGCTTTTCTAGCAAATTCTGCTTCATCTCATACATATTTCTATACTTGCTTCCTATAAGCAGTCTTTTACTAGGCTATATTCATCTTTGTGTCACATGTGTTATATCTTGCTCCTGAGATCACTGAAATCTAATGGGTACTTGAATATTTGTTAAATAAGTGTATCTTTCACTTCTTTATATATTAAATATATGGCAAAATATTAGGCTAAAATATTAGTTTTATTACAACTGACATATTAATTGTATGGGCTAATAGCTATTTGCAATTTACTAAATATTTTCTTAAAACCTGAGATTCACAGAAAGATTTGAGTACTTTTTTAAAATCATTTTTTATTGGAGGATAATTGCTTTATAATATTGTGTTCAGTTCAGTCGCTCAGTCGTGTCCAACTCTTTGTAACCCCATGGACTCCAGCAAGCCAGGCTTCCCTGTTTATCACCAACTCCCGGAGCTTACTCAAACTCATGTCCATTGCGTTAGTAATGCCATCCAACCATCTCATCCTCTGTTGTCCTCTTCTCCTCCTGCTTTCATCTTTTCCCACCATCAGGGTCTTTCCCAATGAGTTAGTTCTTCACATCAGGTGGCCAAAGTATTGGAGTTTCAGCTTCAGCATCAGTCCTTCCAATGAATATTCAGGACTGATTTCCTTTAGGATGGACTGGTTGGATCTCCTTGCTGTCCAACAGACTCTCAAGAGTCTTCTCCAACACCACAGTTCAAAAGCATCAATTCTTTGATGCTCAGCTTTCTTTATAGTCCAACTCTCACATCCATACATGACCACTGGAAAAACCATAGCCTTGACTAGACAGACCTTTGCTGGTAAAGTAATGTCTCTGCTTTTTAATATGCTGTCTAGTTTGGTCATAGCTTTTCTTCCAAGGAGCAAGCATTTTTTAAATTTTATGGCTGCTGTCACCATCTGCAGTGATTTTGGAGCCCCCCAAAATAAAGTCTCTGTTTCCATTGTTTTCCTGTCTATGGGCCATGAAGTGATGGGACCAGATGCCATAATCTTAGTTTTCTGAATGCTGAGTTTTAAGCCAACTTTTTCACTCTCCCCTTTCACTTTCATCAAGAGGCATACAGATTTCTCAGGAGGCAGGTAAGGTGGTCTGGTATTTCCGTCTCTTGAAGAATTTTCCACAGTTTGCTGTGGTCCACACAGTCAAAGGCTTTGGCATAGTCAATAAATTAGATGTTTTTCTGGAACTCTCTTGATTTTTTGACGATCCAATGGATGTTGGCTATTTGATTGACAATATTATGTTGGTTTCTGCCAAACATCAGTATGAATCAGCCACAGCTATACATATGTCCCCTCCCTCCTGAAGTCCCCTTCCATGTCCTACCCTACCCCATCCCTCGAGGTTGTCCCAGAACACTGGGCTGAGTTCACTGTGTCACATAGCAAATTCCCACTTGCCATCTATTTTCCATAAGATGAGGTATATATTTCCATGCTATCCTTTCAATTCTTCCTACCATCTCCTTCCCCCGCTGTGTCTACAAGTCTGTTTTCTGTTTCTGCATTTCTACTGCTACCCTGCAAACAGGCTCATCAATATCATCTTTCTAGATTCCACACACATGCATTAATATACAACACTTGCCTTTTGCTTTCTGACTTCTTCCCTCTGTATAATGGGTCTAGGTTCATCCACCTCATTAGAACTGACTCAAATGTGTTCTTTTTTTATAGCTGAGTAATATTCTATTGTATTGATGTACCACAATTTCTGTAGCCATTCATCTGTCACTGGACATCTAGGTTGCTTCCATATCCTAGCTATTGTAAAAAGTGCTGCAACAAACATTGGGGTACATATGTCTCTTTCACTCATGGTTTTCTCAGGGTATTTGCCCAGTAGTGGGATTGTTGGGTCATATGGTAGTTTTATTCTTAGCTTCTTAAAGAATCTTGAATACTTCTTCAAATACAAAATAATCATAGTCAAAGAATCTAGATATGCTTAATATTTAAATGGATCAGGTTCTTCTACGGCTGTAAAAGACAATATGTGATAGAAAATAATTTTTCAAACTAGTAGACAACCCAGTGAAAATGGTTGTTTCATTGAATTAGAGCATGACTTGACTGAAATAATCAGTAAATATTCAAAAGATGATAAAACAGGAAACTCTCTAGACAGCAATCCAGCTTATAAGGTTTATTACAAAGAGGCAATGCATATTTCTAAGAGATGTTATTGTAGGAAGCAAATTCACATTCTGCATATATCAATTACCCTTTTTGCACTTTGTTGGGGAACTGTTCTTGTCATTTATTAAAACATCATTTTTTTAATGTGAAACTAGATAAAACAAAGTCTTTGGAGCCTCTAAAGTTTATTAAAACATGGTGTTAAATTGAGTCATTTGCAGTGATGTGATGAACCTTGAGTATATCACACAGAGTGAAGCAAGTCAGAGAAAGAAAAAGGATGTATATGAATGCATACATGTGGAACCTAGGAAAACAGTAACTGATGAAAGTATTTGCAGGGCAGAAAAAGAGATGCAGACCTGGAGAATGGACATGTGGACACAGTGGGGGAAGGAGAGGGTGGGATGAACTGAGAGGGCAGCTTTGACATTTATATATTTGTGCTCATGCACAGTCACTAAGTCAAGCCCAGCTCTCTGTGACCCCCTCAACCATAGCCTGCCAGGCTCTTTTGTCCATGGAATTTTCCAGGCATGAATCCT